AAAATAATTATAAACTTTGTCACACTATTGGAACAGCCTGTATGTGCATTGCAACGACAATATGTCATATTTATATTACGGCTAAGTAAGCGGAAAGTCCATTGTCGCATATGTAATTTTTATTTTCAAATAATCAAATACAATACCTACATATTTATTTTAATATCTATTATTTACTTGAATTTAGTACTAAGTACAACTATGCCTAGCAAATTGTAATACTTACTCTGTTAATGTTTTTTCCTTCATATAAAAAATAGTAAACTCCACAAATAAAATATTTCGCAGCCACAACGCAACAATAAAAGATAACAGCTCAAAGATCCATACAAGAAATAATTACATTCGCACCTACTCTGGTCCGAATCCATATAAGTACTAAAATGTAGAAAATAATATGAAATAAAACTTAGTTGGCTGCAAATATTATAAATTTGTACAACCACTTGCCATCCTCCTTTTTTGTAAATATGTACTTAATAATATGTAGAAGATAGAAAATAGAAATATTTTCAGAACAAAGAATCGGCGGCCGCAAATTCGAGTTTTTATTATTTTATTACCCTTCTCTTTTCATATGCAATTATGAGATAGCAAGAGAGTGGGATGGACGTATAGGCCGGACAACTCATCGTGCACGTGTGTGTGCACCTGGCATTTTCTCGTTTTTTTTCAGTTGTGTTTTGCCGGAATTTGAAAGAATGAAATAATCATACCATTTTTACTATAAACGTATTTCCTGTAGCGACATCTATATGAATATTGTAGTACTTTGTTTGATGAAACGGGACTTCAATTTCTGTTCTTTAACTCGAATAGTTACTTTTTGAGAAAACTGATCTTGGTAAATTGAAGACAAGAAGTTCGAGTTTGCACCCCGATAGTATCTAGAACAAACGGTTTCCGTATTACGGGGAAAAATTAAAATAGAAATTACAGATCCCTTTACATTCAAAGATTAGAAAAAGTAAATGTTGGTACTGAATTTAGGAGTCCAAACAATAACCTGGGGTTTGCTCACATAGGTTTGCTTTACGTGCTAAACTTTGACAGGAAATAAAATGAAATGTGAAAATAACTGTAATACTGGTTGCAGCACCTTCAGGAATCTTAGAGTTTAGATAAAGATGCAATTTTAATAACTTGAATAAATATTTTTTAATAGTAGATAAAATGAGACGAATTCGAATTTGACCTTAGATTATTTCCAGAACAAGTGATTTTCGTGTCGCAAGAAAAACAATTCGAAAAGAATCATATATGTGCTTGCTGTCAAATCTTAGTAAAGAGTAGATGGCACTGAGTCAAAATAGTCTCTTAATTTTCTTTCACGTTTTATATTTTGAAAAAAATAAAATGAAAATAGAAAAAATAAATATTTGTATTCCTTTCGTGACCACGATTGAAATACTGGTTGCTGCTCCTTTAAGAACGTTGCAATTACTATCAAATGAATACTTTTTGAGAACATTACATTAAGTAAATTCAATTTGACTACAACTCCTTAAGGTAGTGTTGTCAAAAAGTATTCATTTGATAATAATTTTAAAGTTTTTAAAGGAAGGGTAGCCACTAGTACAGTTTTGTCATGTAATTGTAGTGGTGTAGGTATTATCAAGTTTTATTTTTTGTTTTCATTTTATTTCATAAAATATAAAAAGTAGGGGAAAGCTGACAGACTATTTTGAGCATTTCAAATTCGGCGCTAATATTTATATTTTGCTAAGCTTTGAGAGCGACAATATACAATATATAATTTTTTTTTCTTGTGGCACGAAACCCTCTTGTTCTATAGGTGATTTGAGGCCAAATTCGAATCCGTTCAATTTACTAAAGTTCGCGCTTCAAGAAGGAATTACGGCTATTTCTTAAAATAACGTCAAAAGCTTCCTGAAGGTGCTGCAACCAGTATTACAGTTATTTTCGCGTACGCAAACCTTTATTTTTGCCATTTTCATTTTATTTCTTGTCAAAATATAGGACGTAAAGCAAACCCAGGTTATTGTTTCGACTCCTAAACGCAGTACCAACATTTACTTTTTCTAATCTTTGAATGTAAAGGGATCTGTAATTTCTATTTTAATTTTCCCCGTAATACGAAAACCGTTTGTTCTAGATACTATCGGGGTGCAAACTCAAATTTCTTGTCTTCAATTTGGTTTTCTAAAAAAGTAATATTAGGAGTTATTACAAGTAATTGTAATATTGCGGAAGATGCCGCAACCAGCATTACACATACCTTGTAATTATGGTGCCGGAGCCATGAACCTTTATTTTCCTATTTTCCATGTATTGTATTTTCGATATTTTCTGTCCGAAAATGTATGTTGGACGTAAAAAGTAAAATAAAATACTTACTAAAGACTCTTCTAAATTCAGTGCTAATATTTACTTTCAAAATTCAAATTTCTCGCATTGTTACCAAAAACGTAACTATTGGATAACTCTATTTTAAAATAACTACAAGGTTGCTAAAGGTGCTGAAACCAGTATTACGTTTTCTTGTAACTGTGTTATGTTTTATTTCCCTTGTATTTCTCGCCAAAATATATGACGCAGAGAAAAATCGAAACTTCGATTCTCGTTAATTCAATGTCAATATTTACTTTTTTACTATTCTTTGAAAACTAGGAGACATACGACTTTTTTCGACATTTGTTCCAGTGACACGAACATCACTTGTAGGGACAATCGGAGGTAAATTCGAATTCATTCAATTAATTAAGATTTGTGTTCTCAAAAGGTTTGGTTAAATATGATAAGTATATATACCTAAAAACAATCATACGTAAAATTTGCCACTAAATTATTTTTTCAAGACCGATCTATTGCAATTGTGTTATAAATGCTTATAACCAAACTAACAAAAACGAACAACAAAATTATGTTGTCAAAATTTTTACCTAGATATGTCTCTTGAATTTTACTTTTTACGTACATTTCATACCATCACCATTACCAATTTACTATTTCCTCGTTTTTTTTTCTCGAATTTTATGTTAAATAATTTCTCAAATAAAAATTTAACTGAACCATAAACTATAGATTTGGCAGAAAACAAGGAACCAAATTTAAGCATGAAACATATTATACTGGTAGCATTGTATTATTTTATTTTTATTTCTCTAACATTTAAAAAATGAAGAAAAGTCCTACAATAAATATATCTTCGATCATTGCACCATCTATATATTTATGTACTCATTAAATTATTATGTACTCATGAAAAAATCCAGGAGGCGGTTAGATGGCACTATATTATTTGTTCCGTGAAATTCTTATTAAATAATACCAAAAACAAATATGACTATATACTTCTTACTGATAATATCCTTGAGTATGATAGCCTAGCCCTACAGAGTTTGTAATCTGTGCCTACATTAATGATATGACATTTTGGATTCTCTGTGGGTAAAAGTATGTAAAAGGTAGTTTTAATATTTTCAAGCTGCGCCATCTGGTGATTATAAATTACAACAAACGATGAGGAATTTCTTATGAAAGAAGGACACTGTAATACTCGACTTTGCTGATGATTATTGTAACATAGAGATGGTGGGTGCGTGCTAATTTAAAAAATAACATCAGGCACTGTAATTTCAGATGCAAGTCCCTGGATTGATCAAATTTTAATTTCAGTTACTAGCCTCTGTAATTTCAGGATTCCAGTTTTAGGAATTTTATATATTCATGAATCAAACAGCCAAACACCCAAGTATTTAGACAAAAAATAACTGTTGTAATGAAGGAAACATGGAAAATCTAATTTTGCAGAACAAAACATCCTTTCTGCTCTGGACATTGTATGGAAATGTATCTTAGGTGGAAATGTTTATTACATATTTGAATTAATGTATCTAATTATTTCTCAAGCACATATTTTAAAGGAAATCAATATTTTAAAAAAGTATATTCGATGGCGTAGTTGCAATTATTATCGTCTGATAAGATAAATTACTTTTCATTGTCCGAAATAATAAATAACTGATTATCTGCAAGTTGGATAAGATTATAATTTTATTCTGTTTAGGGTAAAGTTTGCAATTTTAGAATTCATACAAACACGAATTGCTTTGATCATTTTTTTAACCGCAAAAAGTGACATTCCAGTAGGTACCAAATTGTTTTGTTCTATCTACTGATTCAGGTAAGACGCATTTTTTTATTTATTTTTACAAAAATAGATATGTAGTTCCACTCGAAATTTCGCAATTTTCGATTTTTTCCCTCAACGAAACGTTAAATCTCAAATATATATTTTTTTACATTTTCATGGTCCTTCAATTTTTTTTGGAAAAGCTTTAGGCCTCAGAGGAATCTGAAATTGGATCTATTTTCATGCAATGTGTTTTGACATTAACTTTTATTACGCAAATTTTATTTTATATTGCTTTATTTTTTCATAAACACAAAATACATACCTCTTTTATACAATCTTTTATCTTATACAGAGTGGAAAGTTTAACTGAAACAAATTCTGTAACTTAATAAATAAAGGTTTGTCGGAAAATATTTCAATTTTTATTTTCAAAGAGGCATATTACAAAGAGGTTTGTTTATTTTTTTAATTATGTGGGAGTTGCAGCAATCCCAACTTTTTTTCTAAATGGAAAGGAATTGATAAATTTTTTATTTTAAAGCATTTTCAATTTCAAGTACAATTACGTATTTTTTGTTACTTTTTAATGTGTAAATGTGTCGGAAAAAATAAAATAAGGAAACGTTTACTCCTTTAATGTACCTATATATTTTTTTGTTACTTGATACGCCACAATAACATTTGCATACCTCATCACCTGCTTGATAGTTTTTTGGCCAATTTGAACTGAATAATGAACCTACCATTTAAAAAAAGGTAGGGGGTTGTTAAAAAGATAATCAAACCTCTTTGTAATATGCCAAATTGAAAATAAAAAGCTTTCCACTGTGTTTATAGAGATTTAACAAGAGCATCTTTTTATATTAAATTAAAAAAGTTTGGTGTGAAATAGTATCTATCGCTCCGTTATCCGTTTTTAGCAAAAAACAAACAAATACAAAAAATTGCCCTTATCTTTTGTGCTATCCAATTTGTAAGTACCGAGAGATAATTTAAAACCACCCTTTATATTTGAGGCAGTAGTTGCATCAATTAATATTTAATAATATTTTGAAGGTCTATAAATATAGTACGAAAGTTTTGATGGAAAAAATATTCATTTCACTAAGAAATAAATATAATTTAATACACAAACGAATCAATAATTTGGAATTGAATTTTAAAAAAAATAAGAACATTGTCGATGTGAATGTAATTCATTTTCTTGCAGGACGATGGCTAGCTCTGGCTATTCTTACAATGGCAAACTGTATAGGCCGTGCGCCACTGTGGCCGACGAGAATAGTTTTTTCCATTCGGCCTTCGGAATTAGAGCCGCTGAGGGCGAAACCTACTCCGATAAACACTATAAAGTTAAGCGCATGCGCTGGGCTGCATTCCTGACTTATTTCGAAAATGAGGAAATGCCGGTTGTTCTAGCAGATATACTGATTGGATGTTTCTCAGCAAAGGACGCATACAAGCACAAATCCATCAGGGATAAAAATCACTTTGAAAGTTACGTACGTGACATTACGATGGCGGGGCAACCCGTTACCAAACAAGAAGTACCCATTCTGTCGACATTGGAAAACATAAGAATCGTACTGTTATCAAATGAAGGACCGGATCCAGTTGTAATTGTAAACCCCAATGTTGAAATTCTGGGAAATTATTCAACCGTTCTAGAAAAGAGCAAAGATGAAGTTGTCTTGTGTCTAGAAGAGAATACGTTTTCGAGGCTCGAACCCGTCTTCGAATCTTCTGCCTCAAATTCTTTAAGAGCCATCGAAAACAAAGCCACCAGAGAACAGTTACAGCAGACTGATAGTTCCCTAAGATATAAGAAAGGTGGGAGTGCTGGGAGCGAAGGCGTTGAATTCCAAGTCAATTTGCTGATGGTACTCCTGTTAAATTCCCTGAGGAACCTCAAAGACTGGAAACTGTCTACAGAAAATAAAGAAGCAGGGAAATTAGACGACGCAGTTCTAGAATTGCCGGAGAGCGCGTTTTTGATCCAAGCCAAACATAAAGGGAATGCGAATGCGAGGATAACTTTCGATGATCTGCTTTCCACTAATTCGAAAAAAGACGATTTCAGCTTGCCCAAGTATTTTCTCTCGTACCAAGAAGTGAAAAATGGATTTAAAGGGAAGAATACCATTATAATTTGTACCAACGCAGGTATCGATAAGACGGCCTTGGAATTTCTAGCCAACCGCAGAATTTGCACTGAAAGTGTACTATATTGTGCTGACGAAAATTATTCATTTCATACATTCAATCTCAACATTTTGAGCTCTTTAAAAGAAAAGGTTGGAATATATCTGGAAAAAAATTGGCAAAACAAAAATATTGACCGAACGGTAATCACTGATGAGAATTTGAAGGATTTTCTGGAACGATTACAGTTTTATTTCAATTACCCGTTGGGCAGTAACACAGAAAAAGACACTGGAAAATTAGTGTCTCTCCTGAAATGTTCTGGAAATTTTTGCGACCAAATATCTACTTCGGAAATATACGCTAAATTAATGAAGTGGTTTCAGCAAAAAGACGGCATATACTTAACTGAGACTACCGCTAATGCCATGCTTTTTGAAATAAAAAGCGACCAGTACTGGCAAAAGTTGGATAAGTATGGCGTGTCCTTCCAAAGAAATTTGTTGAATGTCCAAGATAAAAAGAAGGTGTATTACGTTAGTGCTGAGGCAGGATATTTGCTGCAAGAATTGAGAATTCATCATTCTTTGAGAAACAACAAATCTAAAATCCTCTACGCCAGTCCCGAGGGTGGTGAATTTCAAAAAATAATAGAAACATTTAAAGTGTCACGTTATACCATTCTAGTAGTAAGTTTCTGTTCTAAAGGGATTATAGAAGAATTTTTAATAGGCGGGATGTGGGACAAATTAAGAAAAATCTTAAATCAGTATGAAAAGAAGATAGTTATCTTATTGGCTGAGAGAAATAAAAAATTATTGGGACAAATTGATCTGGACAGAAGTTTTTGTGATATTATCGATGGATCTGTAAGGTTCAAGGATTTTTCTCAGGATTCTCAATCAAAATTGCTACAGAGAAAAGTAGTTTTCCAAGGAGCAGAAGTTAGCTTAGAAGTACTACTTGAAAATCATATCGATCGGGATTATACAAATGAACTAAGTTTAGAAATATTAGAGAAATTAGTCCGAGAAGAACAGATTAAAGTAGGACTAGAGGTATATCCATTAGACGAACAAGTTGGCCGTTATTATGTTGATCGCACCTTTAAGAAAGAAATAAAGAGAAGTGAGGAAGAAGAGGGAGTTGGCATGGAGAGAATAGAAACAATTTCAGAAGAGAAAATATATACGGCGAGGCATAAAGTAGTAGTAATCGCTGATGCGGCAGGGATGGGAAAGAGTACGGTCCTTTCCCGTTTAGCGGTTACAATTAAGAACAAAAATCCTCAACTGTGGGTTATACGAATCGACCTCAGTGATTACTCTGGAATTTTAAAAGATTTCAAAGAAAGAAATAAGATCATAGACGTAACAGAGCTACTAGATTTTAGAGACACTAAATTGTCGAACCAATTAGAAGAAGTTTTATTTTCGATGAAGAGAAAAGTTGTCGTTTTGATGGACGGCGTAGATGAGATCAGCCCCGACTATACGGAGCTGGTGATAGGACTACTTGTTCAATGCCAACAAGGAGCTAATTTTGACAAAGTATTCGTAACTACGAGACCCAATATGGCACAAGAATTGGAATCAAAGCTGCAAGTGAAATCTTTCACGTTACTCCCGTTTACAGAACGCCACCAAATACGTTTTCTAACAGAGTATTGGGCGCATAATTTGAAATTAGATAGTATCGATAAGAAGAAATGCGAGACATACGCTTACATACTGTTAAGAACAATGTCGTCTTGGATGAATTTACATCAAGAAGGTGAACAAATTGGTGCGATGCCACTACAGATCAGAATGTTAGCGGAGATATTTCAGACAAACGATAGATCAGAAGAATCGATGGATTGGGAAGGATGCAAAGAATATCTAGAAGGAAACGGAATATCAAAATTACCAGAAAAAAGTAATGTTGCAAAAATCTACGAGATGTTTATTGAGAAAAAACGAAACGTCTTTAAAATTAAGGGAAATCCAAACGGTAATACGGCAGCGAATGAAGCGCTTGTTGATCAGTTTGAGGAGTGTCTCGCTTGTCACCGTTTGCTCGCCTTAGAAGAAATTCTACGTAAATCAGAGTGTGAATTGTTCTCGCATTACCAGCCAGTAGACAGAAATGTGGAAACAAAGATATCGAAGATGGGGATCGTACAAATATCGGAAAATAGATTCTATTTCGTCCACAGAACTTTTGCTGAATTTTTTGTTGGGAAAAGTCTCTTAAGCGAATTGCAGCTTCAAGTGAAACATAAAAATCTAAACTTTCAAAAATTCTTCTTCGACGAAATATTATTGAAAAAAAAATTTAAAGTAGTTCGTGTATTTTTCGACAATTTTCTAAAACAAATTGTGCACGACTTACCTCCTAATATTTTCGAAAGTTACCGATCTTTAATATATGCTATTGATTTGGAAGCTACTTTTCGTTTAATACACAGCATGGCGGAGGAAGGCTGTACAGCAATTCTTCGACTGCTGTTTAAATGCATCCACTTTAAAGTTATCGGAGATAAAAATATTGGTTTTGACCACTTTAAGCAACATATCTTTAAATGCATCTCTTCAAACGTATTGATTGTTTTAGATGTCCTTGTACGAGAGGGAGGAGTCAATATTTGTGATGAATTTAATAGGACACCATTACTGTCCGCTACTCAACGAGAACATTTGGAAATGGTGAAATTTTTAGTTGAACAAGGTGCGAATTTGAACCCTATAAAACCAGTAGTGACGCCGTTGTGGTTTGCCGTACGAGGTTCTCAGTTCGATGTGTTGAAATTCATGGTGCTGCATGGAGCAGATTTGAAAATAAGAGACTATCACGATTACTCAATATTGTACAATGCCATATCTACAAGTAACGTGGAAAAAGTTGAATTCCTTCTGGATTACACTTTACAGTACAACAGATGGGAAGAAATAGGATCGATTATTCCGTACACGGCCGCATATTTGGGCCAATTAAATACTCTCGAAGGTTTAATAAAAGAAGGTTTGAATATACACGTCACAGTAGAAAAGGGCGAAACCCTGATTTTAGGCGCGGCACGTGGAGGACAAATAGAAACTGTTAAATATTTAATGAGACACGATGCCGATATCAATAGTACGGATGAGGATGGCAACACGGCGCTTCATTTAATAGCCAACCGGCCCGCGTTTGTCTCGACCGCTAAAGATTTAGTGGAATTGGGCATTGACGTTAACGTTAAAAATTATCGCGGGGACACAGCGCTGCACTTAGCCATCAGTTCACTGGGTATGACGGAATTTCTAGTCAAAAGTGGCACGGATGTGAACAGTAGAAACCAAAATGGGACAACGGCGCTCTGTTTAGCTGCCTCTTGCGGTCAACTGGAAACAGTAAAGTTTCTCGTGGAACACGCTTCAGATATCAACGTTACGGACAACGCCGGCAATACCGCGCTACATTCAGCTGCAGGAGCTGATTTGAACACTGTCAAATATCTTTTGCGACGTGGAGTTGATGTTAACGTAAAAAACAATAACGGCTACTTACCGCTGCATAGTGCAGCTCTACAAGGTGATTCAGAAATTGCAAAATTCCTTGTATTGGAGTGCGGTGTAGATGTTAACGCTAGAGATGCTACAGGAAGCACGGCGTTATATGTGGCCCTTCGGGGAGGTCAGCGTTACGTTATTGAATGTCTTGTGGAACTTGGCGCGGGCGTTAATATCGATAACGGCCTGGGCTTCACGGCACTGCATCTCGCTGCTAGTAATGGTTTATTGGATATTGTCAAATCCCTTGTAGATCTTGGTGCTGATATTAATAACAAAGACGCAAGCGGCCATACTTCATTACATTTATCCGCGTTAAACAGCAGATGGCAGATTGTTAAATTTCTTATGGAACTCGATTCAAATCTTGATATGGGAGTAAACGATCGCGAGATAGTGGTAAATTTAGCTTCCAAAGTAAGGAACGTCTTATATCCTTATGGTCGAGGAAGTCTACATGAAGCTGCCGCAAACGGTAACTTACGGATTATAAAAGTTCTCTTGAAGCTTGGCGTGAATGTAGATATGGTAGATCATAATGGGTGTACACCATTGCACGTAGCCTCTTCATGTCTGGTAACCACCGTTAAATTCCTTGTAGAACACGGCGCAGATATTAATATTAAAGACCGTAGAGGAGGCACGGCACTGCATCATGCCGTTTGTACTAGTCAGTGGGACGTAATTAAATTCTTTTTGGAACGTGGCGTGAACATTAACATTACCGACAATGACGGCTCGACACTATTACATTATGCTGCTAGGAGTGGTCAGTGGGATATTATAGAGTTCTTTCTGAACCGAGGGATTGACGTAAATGTTAGAAATATTTACGGTCTGGTGCCGATACAATTTGCAGTTATGAGCTGTTCGCGGTTTACGCTTAATGCACTTTTGGAACGTGGCGCAGATGTGAACAACAGAGACGACGATGGTCGTACGGCGCTGCATTTCGCTGCGTCTGGAGGTAATTTAGACGCCGTCAAATTTCTTGTGGAAAGTGGCATCGACACCTCTGTTAGGGACAACAGTGGGCGCACGTGGCTCCATTTTGGCGCTTTGGACACTGTCAATTTTATTCTAGATCTTGGCATAGATGTAAACGTTAGAGATAACGACGGACGCACGCCACAACACTGCGCGGCCGAGAAGGGTCAGTTAAATAAAGTTGAAGTGCTCGTGATGCGTGGTTCCGAGCTCAATATTAGAGACAGCCATGGCCGTACCGCCTTGCTCTTAGCAGCCGCAGCGAATAAATGGACGGTAGCGGAGCATCTTATGCGGTTCGCTTTTGATGTTAATATGAAAGATAATACCGGACGCACGGTGTTGCACTTCGCTGCTTTGATTGGACACTTGAACATGGTGGAGCGCGTCGTGGAACTTGGTGGAGATGTTAACATCCAAGATGACGCTGGCCGCACGGTACTGCATTTAACAGCTTTACAGGATTTTTCGGTTGCACTCCCTATTCGTGGCTTTTGTAATACGGATGATATGGTCAGGACATATTGGAACATTGTCAAGTTCTTAGTAGAGAAAGGCGCAGATATTGATACCAAAGACTACGCGAAGGACACGGCTGCTATGTTGGCTATAAGGGGAGGAAATTACCATCTGCTTCAGCACCTCGAGCCAAAAAATAAATAATAATTGTACAACACACATATGCTACACTGATGCAAACAATTTTTTTTTGAAAAATTTTCGAAATAATTTTGGAATTTCTTTCCCGATACGACCATTTTTCACCTAAATACAGTCTGTCAAAAACCACGGAAAAATTTCGGAAATTCTTTTGTCCCTTTAATTGTTTGCATTAGTGTACTTAAGAACGGAAATTGAAGTCCCGTTTCATCTAACAAAGTACAACAATATTCATATAGATGTCGCTACAGGAAATACGTTTATAGTAAAAATAGTACGATTATTTCATTCATTCAAATTCCGGCAAAACACACCTAAAAAAAACGAGAAAATGCCAGGTGCAAGCACACGTGCACGATAATGAGTTGTCCGGCCTATACGTCCATCCCACTCTCTTGCTATCTCATAATTGCATATGAAAAGAGAAGGGTAATAAAATAATAAAAACTCCAATTTGCGGCCGCCGGTTTTTTGTTCTGAAAATATTTCTATTTTCTATCTTCTACATATTATTATGTACATATTTACAAAAAAGGAGGATGGCAAGTGGTTGTACAAATTTATAATATTTGCAGCCAACTAAAAGTTTTATTTCATATTATTTTCTACATTTTAGTACTTATATGGATTCGGACCAGAGTAGGTGCGAATGTAATTATTTCTTGTATGGATCTTTGAGCTGTTATCTTTTATTGTTGCGTTGTGGCTGCGAAATATTTTATTTGTGGAGTTTACTATTTTTTATATGAAGGAAAAAACATTAACAGAGTAAGTATTACAATTTGCTAGGCATAGTTGTACTTAGTACTAAATTCAAGTAAATAATAGATATTAAAATAAATATGTAGGTATTGTATTTGATTATTTGAAAATAAAAATTACATATGCGACAATGGACTTTCCGCTTACTTAGCCGTAATATAAATATGACATATTGTCGTTGCAATGCACATACAGGCTGTTCCAATAGTGTGACAAAGTTTATAATTATTTTCAGTTATAGTTGTATAGGGCAAAATCTTCAGGCCAAAAACAAGATTTTCTGAACGTTTAATTCGGTCTGAAAATAATGAATAATGGAAATAATAATAAAATGTGAATCCGAGCAAGTAACTTTTTTCGTATCACTACTACAGGCAGTTATACTAAACTTTATCGCACTATTGTGGCACCCTATATATGACTAGATATATCATTATGGTAAATCAAAAGCATAATAGGTAAAAATGTATAATTATCTATGTTTATAACAAATATTATCTGGTAAAATTCTTTTCTTACTTTCAGATACGGAACCGGAAGAAGTCTATATGTTATTTCGTAATATACCTATAGTGGTGAAAACAACCCACTCTATGTAGAACAAATTAAGAAATATGAAGAATTATGGAAAAAATCAATGGCAACAAATTTGGAACAATTTTATAAAAATTGTATACTACCAGAAATAATATACAAAAATATTCCACAGGGAAAAAGATGTATGGATCCAGAATATATTATAGAAACTCAAATTAATAAAAAGAAATAATTTTATTTTATGAATTTTTAAATTTTTTCCTGTTCTACTGTACCTATTCTATTTACTTCTTTATTACTTTCATTTATTTACATATTTATTAAACTACACTGTTCCACAGAATTTCTGTTTATATTGGAGGTATTAAAGTACCTATAAGACAACTATTTTTTCAATTGAAGTGAACTGAATTACCTATTTCTCATAAAAAAAATTTAGACTCAAATCGTCCTTTTGTACATAATTCTTTACACATTTTTTGGACAAAATAAGTATATCGTACATATTTTTTATATTTTCTCATTATTATGTATATTCACAATTAAAATTCTATTTATATTAATATGCAAATTTTTTTTATCAAGAATTACTTAATATTAATTATTAAAAATATAATATTTTCCATTTCTGTTTATACCAAAGTAAGCCGCTTTATTCACAAATCGTAATTATAACGTAACTTTCCGTTATGAACAACTTTTCTTATTAACATTTTTTTTATATTATCAAAAACAAAAGCAGTTTATTCTTCAACGTTATTAATTTTGTTAAATTTCTGATCACCCTGTATATATATTTATTACAGTTTTTCATGACAAACGTATTCAATTAAAAAGCAAAATATTTTTTGTCACGAATTACTTTTTCTAGTAGAATAGAAAATAAAAATGTTTTCCCTCTTATCCACTAACCGTAGATACTAATATAGGTATATTAATTATAAATTATGGTTTTAAATAAACTAAAAATTGTTTATATTTCATATTTTCTAAAATTATATAATAGTATGGACTTGCACTGTTACTTATATACTTTTATACAAAAATATATCTAAAATGATCATGACATTCTTTAAATATTTACGTATCAATTAACAGAAACCATGACTACCAATTCAGAATCAGGTTATACCAAATTAACCACATACAACAGCTGTTCGTTAAAAATAACCCGAGTCCATTCATAAATAAATTTTTACTAGTGCGACATCTATTACAAATCAAGCGAATTAAAAGTCGGAGATAATGCTATTCATGAATGAATATTTTTTAATAATTTTATTCCAATATAACTTTTTAAATAATAAAGTGATGAACAAACTATGAAATAAAGTCTAATCAGTTTATTTATTTAAAGACAACTATATAAAAAATTGCATAATTCTATAATACTATGAAGAAATAATCGTTTCTTTGTAAAAGTCCAAAAAACCTTCATATTTAGAAATTAATTTCTCACGAATTATTTACCTATCCCAATTAATGTTTGCTTTACTGTCTTCATTTATACTTTGCCAAATGTGATATGAAATTTTACTACTTTCTTCCATTGCTTTAAAAAGATATATTGGAATAAAAAGAGGGCTGTTTTCTACCATTTTTCGGTATAATTTAGGCAACCAGAAATGCATCAGTTTCCATCCTTAAACGATGTACGTAATTTTCTCTATTTCTCCTCTGTATAAACGGTCGTATACGACGAACTAACTTGTGCAGGTATTTACCTTAGTGTAAATAGGTATGCATTTTAAGGTAAGTACTTACCGACTGAAATAAGTTTGCCTTAGAGATATAGTTCCGCCGACAAAAGGACACGGCAAGGAAAATGTTCCAGAAGTGTACCTTTGAGTGAATAGGATCGAGTCCACAACGATATTCCAATGGATTTTGTTTGAGGGCATTCACGAGAAGTGGTAGTAAATTTCAATGAACTAAACATCGAGGTATACCTTATACAGATGACATATAAAATAATCTTGATTTCTACAATTTATTTAAAATACAAAAATCGACTTATAAAACTTTTTTGATTAACATAATTTTAAATGATCACGGATATGATGCTTTACGTCTTGCACCGTACCACTCAGATTTAAATCTCATCGAATTAGTTTGATCTGCTACGAAGCAGTATAGGGCAAACAGGAATGTTAATTTTAACTTAACATCCGTTGTTATGAGACTTTCTGGAGACGGAGCCTTTATCAGACAATTTTGTAATTAAAGTCTACAAGAACGCAATGACACTAGTGATAATGGCGTTTCTGGTATTCTGCCAATGTAACATTTCTTTAATTGTAATTTAATTTTTTATACCTATAATTATTATAATATATAAAACATTCTTTGCTTATATAACACAGCCACACAAAAAAATGTTTTTCTGGTCTCAAGGTCACACTACGTCTATCATATGTTTTCAGGGTCGCTGAATCCGAATCCGTGTTTGATTTGAGCTGTATAAACAGAATATATTAATATATTTCGAGTGACCACCCTGTATTTAGTACTCCTTTTTTCTTACTACCATCATGATTTATACTTTTTACATTTCTAGCTGTGATTGTTTAAACACTTTATTGTAATGTGAAAAATTAAAAATAACGTTGTGCGTATATGTAGAAGGCGTTTGATTTATTCATACCATTTCGTTACATAAAAAGTTCATTCAGCTTTAATAGAAGTCTCAGAATATTGAGCGCAAAGAACAAAGCGACCACGATCGTAACAATGTTTTCCTTGAAAAAATCGTTGCTTGGAATTTCCAAAAAATAATTAGAATCTTTCTATTCCAGTAATAAATTTTCAATGAAACATTTTTCACCCCCGAGAAGGGGTGGCATCCTCCCCCAGGGTAAAAGCAACCCTCGGTACAAGGTCAACTTCGAAGTAGAGGGTAAATAGAACCTAAATCCAAACTTTTATGAAAATCGGTGTTGTTCGGCAAAATTAATCGGACATAACAAATACTGTCTCAAATCTATAAAATTAAATCGTTAGATATTTTTAATCCAAGAGTATAGGATGACAACGTATGTACCTAGTTGTTTTTCACACTGTTTTTAGCAAATTGATAAGTTAATCTAATACAAACAATATTATTACTCGAATACAAGCTCACGCAGTTTTTGGAATATTGTTTGCGTAAATATGTACGAATACTAATCATTTTATTATCTCTATTACATAGTTCAGGAAATTATGTATTATGCTATTTATAGCAGAATTGGACAATTTCTTACCTGTGAGTTGAACGCTTCAAAATTACCTCGATTTTCATCACTTCCTCACGTTGTTTTTGCTATCTAGCAACAAAAATACAATTCTATCTTGTAGCAAATTTCATAACAAACAATTTCATTAGTAATGTTTTTTTCTGTAAACTGCACATTTAAAAAGTTATTTTGGAAAATGTGAAAAAAAACAAGTATTTGAGTATTTTTGCAGTTTTTAATTTTTTCTGCAAGCAATTAGCACAATTTTTTTACTCAGAAATCGTTATTTTACACAAAATTACGTGACCTCTTTTGATTAGAATGATTCAGGCTATCTGAAATGAATTTTTAAATAGTAAGGTAATAATAAGAAAGAAAGTTACGTACCTACGAAACAACTTACAACCTTAAGGGATAATTAACAAATCGTTTATTGATGCCTTCCCGCAGAAACAAAGAAATGTACATAAAAAAATTAGATAAATTTGGAACGAATACACTGAAGATGAATTTTCGAGACAAAACGTCTGAATCTGGTTCGTCCTGGAGAGACGAAACGTTACATATAAAAATTGATTATGCCATTCGATAGAGACAAAAA